TGTCAACAGCGTTAATGTCCCCATGATGGGGATGATAACCAACTTCCACTGGTTTTATTTATTTATTTAGGCAGTACTGGGGCTTGAACTCAGTGCTTCATGCTTGCTAGGCTGGTACACTGCCACTTGAACCACTCCACCAATCCTTCCGTTGTTTTGTTTTGGTTTTGGTTTTGGTTTTGGCAGTGCTGGGATTGAACCCAGAGCCTCACTAAGCAAGGGATCTACCACTTGTCTACATCCCAGCCCTCCACTGGACTTTAAAAGTATTGAGACTTGGGGGTGTATCTCAAATGGTAGAGTATTTACCTAGCAAGTGTGAGGCCCTGGGTTCCATCCCTGGTACTGCAAAAATAATAAACAAACAAATAAAATATTGAAAGTAGCTCATGAATGCCTGGTTCTACTATAGAGACCCCTGAGTTGGGGACCAGAGCTCAAATTCAGCATGTTCTCCCTGTGTGGACAAGTGGCATAAGATTCAATAAGAAAGCTGAATCTTTTCAAGTAGGGCTCTTGCTAAAGAAAAGAAATATCGTGCGGCTATTTTGGGATTCTGGGAATTCAGTGGAGAAAGTTAGAGTGGAACTATGACAAAGGTCACTAGGTTAAAGAACATAGACCGAAGCTTACGTTGACCACCCATTGGAGGGGCTAAGTTCCAGAACTCTGTAACCACAAGAAAATATCTGACCAGGCGTTAACCACAAGACCCAGCCACAGATCACTGTGTGGCCTTCCTCTGCCAGTTCACCTCTTGCCTCTAGGTGTCGAGGACCACGAAGGGAAACTGGTCAGTGCCCCAGGTTTGGTCCAGTAGTTTCTTAGCTCTCTGTTGGTCTCTAGGTCACAAAGGGAAAGTTCCAGGTGGGTAGTTTCAAGTAGGAGAGCCTAGCTCAGGAACGCCTGTGGACTGTTATGTTTTTTGTTAGCTTACAGGAGACGATGGCCCAGATCGTGGCTGTCAGTAAACTCAGCAAAACCCAGATGGCTAAATCAATAGCCTCCTAATCTTGCTGAATGCTTAAGAAGGGACTGTCGCAATGCCAATACTTTTGGGTCCAAACGCCATTTACTTAATGTGGCTTCCCTCTTGCTTCTGCAAGTGTTATAGAACACTGCTACTGAACCGGCCTAGGGAGAGCTGAGGCCTGGAGAAACTTGTCCACCAAGCTCTGTTTGGCAGCTCACCCCCATTCCCAAGTCACTGTCCTGTGTCCCCGGCTTTCAGGCAGTGTCTTCCTTGGGGTCCTGCCTTTAGTTTGGGGGTCCAGATTCTACCAATTTCTTGCCAAGCACAGGCACTGGTTGTGGAACACACTGGATGCCTTGACATACACTTTTATTTCATCTTCAGCAAATCTGGAAAATGGGCATTATCTTCACTTTGCAGATGACAAAACCAAGTCAAGTTCAATGACTAGCCAAGGTTCCCATGGACACCAAAAGCAAAGTAGGAAGAGGATCTATGTCTTCCAACTCCCAAACCAGTATTCTTCTCCCACAATGGCATATTTCTAAAGGTGGAGTTCAGGTGTGCAAGGAGCCAAGAAGTGCTTGGGTCAGGAGGAATGTGAATAATGTAGTGACAGCATTCTGCAAGCTGTGAAACTCAGTAACATAGAAAGAGATTTAATTATGCCAGGCTGGTCTCTGCCCCCTCCTGCACACAAGCACCAAAGCCAGACAATACAGTCATCCATCCTCTTGGTGCGATCAGTCACCTACCTGTTATGGTGAGAGTTCCTGCTGGGTGAATGGCAAGGATTATTGCCTTCTCCCTACAGTGCGTCTCACCAGGCCCCATGGTTGGTTGGTTCTCCTACAGATCTCTCAGCTCCTTCTCGCTGCTGCTTTGCTGTGACTCTGTTATTCTCATCCTGTCCCTCTGACCACTCTCCACCCTGCAGCCAGCCATCTTCCTAAAGGATGGAGCTGAGTGGATCACACTTGGGCTTAAATTCTTCCTGTGGCTGCTATCACTCTAAGCTTGGAGTTCACACTAAGCTTGGACCTGGTTCACAGGGTGGGTTCTGGTAGGGCTCCCCTTTCACCCTCTGTGCCACCCACCCCTGTGACATACCTTCTTGTGCTCCTGGCCAGAATAACTTCACCTTCACGTACCCTCAAAGGTACTTCCTCTGGAGGGCCATCCACCTGGGCAAGCTGGGGTCAGTGCCCGACCTGCATGGCCACCCAGAACCCTGAGACTATCACTACCAGCTTTAAACTACAATCACGTCCTCTCCTGTGATCCCTTCTAGATTGCTGGCCCTGTGGGTGCAGGGGTTGGGACTGTGTCGTGCGCCCATGTAGAGGTGCTGAGTGGGAGCTGGTATCCACCAGGTCCAAGAGTGACTGGACAGCTTGTCTGGGCTGGCACCACTCTGGCCATCCTGAGGGACAACAGAATTTGATGTGTGCTGAGCCAGTTCGGCAGCTGCCCGAGCCATCCTTTCTCACTTGCTTTCACTGAGCACTGACAGGAGGCAGTTCTCCTCCTGGAGCAACAGAGGGGCCCCCAGAGTCATCTCAGCCACTCCTTCCCGTGGACAGAAGAGCCCAGAACCCACCCCAGAAGACCACTGAGAAAACAGAGCCCCACCCCTTCTGCCCAGCCAGAGCCCTGCCTGCTCCTCCTCGGCTCACCTGGCTGGGGCCTGGAGCTAAGAGTGGCTTGGTGTGTCTCACTGCCCTATGAGCCACCAGCCACAGCACACTGACCCCCAGGCATTCCAGCAGATGTGACCACATCCTGGGGAGCAGGAGCAGGAGCAAGAACAGACAGCAACAGTGGTTTTCACCCCAATTCCTCTGACTCGGTCCTCAGCAAATGATAGTGGGCTGCCTGCCCCAGCCATGACCAGCTCCTGGCCTGACAGCCAGTCTCCCTCAGTAAACCTCCTGGGTAAGTGCTCAGGAACCCCACTCCAGCTAGACCTTTGAGAGTCATGGAGATTTGGGATAGAGTCTCTGTAGGCTTTAGGATACCACAGCTACAGGGCCAGACCACAAAGGTTGATGGTTTAGGACAATTCTGTGTCCCCCTGGCCACTCCCTTAAGCAAACCAGAGCTCCATACTTTGGAGGAGTTTGGAGCTACCCCACCTCCAAATGCCTTCCAACCCATGTGCACATTCATTCCTCCTCCCTGCCTCCACCCTGGGCTGCTCTAATCTGTAACCTGTCACCATGACTATGACAGCCAAGAAGAACCCCTAAGCCAGAACCCAACGGAGGCAGCAGGAGACACACATACACAGCCAAGTGGCAAGGCCAGCAGTCCTTCCTGGCCATATGGTATGTTTCACCCTCTCTTACAACCATCCTCATAGGACTGTTTTCAGGGCTTTTTTGTTTTGTTTTTTGTGGTGTTGGGGTTTGAACTCAGGGCCTCATGCTTGGTAGGCAAGCACTTCACCATTTGAGTCACTCCGCCAGCCCTTTTTGGTTGGTTATTTTTCAAAATAGGGTCTCGTGAACTATTTGCTCAGGCTGGCTTTGAGCCTCAATCCTCCTGATCTCTGCCTCCTGAGTAGACAGGATCATAGGTGTGAGCCACCTCCCAGGTGTGGGGGTGCAATAACTTCTTATGTAGAGAGCCCAGGTCACTGGAACTGACCCCTAACCAAGCCTGTGTCAGGTCACCAGAAAAGGAGGGGACTAATAAGATTCCTTGGGTCCCCAAGGAGGTGACTGAGCCCTTCCTCACCCCAGCAGATCTGAAACCTGGGCCCTGGAGATGACGTCCCCCCACTATAGGGTTGTTCGACCCCCTGTGTGTCCCTCACACCCCACGCGAACTCTCACATTTGTAGCTAGGGAACAGAACACCACAGAGACAGCCTTCTTGTGCTTTTGACACATTATCAGTTTTTATTTAAAAACATGCTAAAAACATGGTGTTCAATAAAGCCAGGTCTGGGATGAAGGAAACGCACAGAACATTGCAAGCAGAAAGTGCATTTGAAACCAACAAGCGTGTGCTTGGCTCTCCGGGCTGGCTGGGAGCTTTCCTCCTCAGAGCACTCACTCCAGTGGGGAGGCTAGGGCCCACCCTGCACACTGCCTCAAGGCAGCAGAGGGAAGTGGGAGAACAGGAACTCAAGGGGCCGCCAGACTGAGGGGCCAGAATGGACCTCGAGCACTTGACATCCAGCTGCAGCCCTGTGCTAGGCCCCTGCAAGTTAGCACCTCCACCAGAGGGTGGGCAGGGGGCTGGAAAAGACAATCACTTCCATTCACCTGGACAGCTCCATGGCCACCCAAGGCCTGAAGGCATGCCCACCTCATTCCATGTCAAATCAGGACAGGTGCAAAGGAGTCTGGATGTGGTCAGCAGCTCTCCCAGGGTGAGGGCCAAGATGCAGGCACAGGCTGGCAGGGAGACAAGTGGCACTGTGTGCTCCAGCTTGGGGGCACAGGGTGTAGGGGACCTGGCACCTTAATACCTGCTGCCAGTCACCTGAGGGTGGTGCTCGGCCCCTCTACCAGATGGCTGTGAGATAGACGTTCTGCTGAAGTGGCCTGCAAACCCCAAGGGACCTCCAGAGTGAGTCTGCAAATTGCTTGTATCAGAACCAACGGGACTCACTCTAGCTTTGGCAAAGGAGGCCAAGGGTGAGGGAATTCACCCAGGAGCAACTGAAGACCTGAGCTCCCTCCCCCTGCATCATGCAGGATGAGCAAGGGGCTCAGGAAAACACCCACCCTGTACAGGGAGACTTCTGCCAGTGACCAAGTAGCCACACACAGGTGAGTCAAAGTAGCTTGGGACCTGTGGGCTAGGCTCCGTGGACAGACGGATGAGGCAGGGCTTGCAGGGGTGGGACTGCGGTGCAGGCTCAGGGCCACACCGCCCCGAAGCACTCCAGAAATAGAGGGTGGCCAGGGAGGCTGGACACCCCACGATGCACTAGGCTTTTGCTGTCCATATTAACAAAAATTAAAAATTGCATTGATAGGCATAAACAAACCCACCCCACCCCACCCACAGCAAAACTCATTGTGCACCAGGTCTCACCTTGTGACTCCAACACTTGTTTGCTGAGTGTTTCTCTGAAGTCATGGGTATGCCCTGCACTCTACATTTTGGGGTTTCCAGAGAGGTGGCTATTGCTCCTTACCAGGAAGATGGGCCAGAGGAATACAGGGGAGGGTAATTTTGCACAAATGTTCTTGCCCCGTCTTCCCCCAGAACCTGCCTTCCCAGTGTTCCCCATCAGCACCACACTCCCATCTCTGAGAACCAGCCTGGGCTCTGTCCAACTTGCTGAGACCATCCGACTCTTAATCCCCAACCCTCAAACCCAAGACCTGAACACCAAAAGCTCCGTGCTCCTGGTCCTTGAAGAATACCTACTTAAGGCGGATGGTAGAGCTACTAGCTGGCTGGAGGCCCTCTCTAAGCACTCACATGAGTGCTTCCCCACCCGAAGAAAGGGAAGATGTGAGCGGCAGGTTGGTGGAGGTTGAAGGCCGGTCCCACTGGGGGATCAAGGTAAGGGATGAACAGGGTGGGGAAGCCAGTCACCCGCACGAATTCCCATGCAGTAGAGTGTACCGAGCCCTAGCTGGCCAGCGGGTGACCTTTTCAAGCCCAGTCTCCTGGTCTTTAGCTTCACCTTTTATTGCAAAGCAGCAGGTGATCGTCAGTTTCAGTGTCCTGCTCCCACTGAAACCCCACCTGCTTGCCTGTCTCACACACCCAGCTCTGGGCACCCTAGACATACTACTGTGGCCAGATGAGCCTAGCGTCCTGTCTTTTCTGTTTCTTGTCTCCTTGGGATCATGCAGAATGTGATGGCCACAACACTACTGACAGCAATGCACCTCAGGAAGGAGGGAGGCTCAGGACCCACGTGGCCCTTTCTCTACCTCCCAGTGGGGCAGGGAGCGGCTGTGGGTGCCTGTTCCAACCTCACCTCCTGATGGTCTTGGGTCCTCTGCCACCCTCTGAGCAGTGAACATGAGTGCTTCCCCTCCCAAAGCAAGGAAAGATGAGAGCAGTGTGAACCAGAGATGTGTGAGTCTGTAGTAGGAATGTGTGAGAGTAACCAAGACATGGGATGCGCCTGGGGCGGCCAGAAGCCACCGCCCACAGAGGAGGGAAAAACACCAACTGCTCATGGGTAAAAAGTGCAAGGACCCTGCCAGCATAGCCGTGTTCCCAGGAAAGTGCTTCTCCAGCCCCACCCCGACCCGAGGACCCCCTCAATGCCGTGGACTCCCTGGCTTGGGCAGCAACACCATCATCCCTGTTCGGGATGCTCTGCCACACTGGCATCAGGCTTCTCCATTCCACTTGTCTCTTCCTGCCCCTATCTGCTAATACCAAGCCTGGCAGGTCCCCACATCCCAACCATGCCTCCTCCCTCTCAGGGTGTCTGGGGAAAGGCCTGGCGCGTCTCACTCTATAGCCTCAAAATTGTCACAAGATGGTATGTCCTCATGCAAACTGGTAGATGTCTTCTCTCCCCACCCATCCCTACCCACAGGAAAAGGAAACTCAAACCATTAAGGAGATCAACACAGTAAAAAGTTATAAATCAGAGCTAACCCTAAACTTATCTGAGAGATAATATTCCTGAATAACCATAATCTGAGTAAAATAAAATAAAAAAGTTACACTGTAAGGTATAAAAAGCCTGGGCAGGATGCTCCAGGGGCCTTGCCTGGCGGTGGTCAGATGGCACCCTGGCTGGCTCTCCAGCTGGGTGCCATGGACGGCAGTGGCTTCCATGGGCAGTCTCTCCGCCCCACATGGGGACAAATGTCAGCGTGAGAAAGGGCAGGGGCAGAAGCCCAGAAATGTGGGGCTTCTTCCTCAGTGCCCCACCCACCCTGGTGTCTTTGGCAAATATGCAGATGCAGAAATCCAGGCGCCTGTGTCCAGCAGTCTCTGCATGCTGCCTCCCCGCTGTGCTTTCACCCTTCACAAGGTCTGAGGTTGAGGTGGGCAGGCAGGGAAGGGTGGGCTGGGAGGTGGGGCAGGTGACAGCTGGAGACACAAAGCTTAGCTCCTCTTCCCTCGCACGCACAGTGTCCAGGTGGGGCCGAGCACATGCCAGCCACTCAGGCATCGTATTTCTTGCCTGTCCGGTGGATATGCTGGAACAGGGTCATGGAGAAGGCCATGCCCAAGATCTGAAAGACAAGAGGTGTCCTTAAATGGATGGCCTGGCGGCCCGGTGTCAGGCCTCAGCCTCGCAAGTGTTGGGAACATCCTAGGGCACCCTGTGGAAGTTGGCAAGACTTGAGTGTGCTGGGAAAATGCTATGGAAAAGAAAGTGAGCCCTGGAGGTTACCCTGGTGACCCAGCCCAGAGCCACATGCAGATGATGAGAGCTCAGCCCTTCATTACTGTGTGCAGAATGAATACCCCAGGTCCCCTCTGAGGCTTGCTGACATTTCAGAGGCCTGGTATAAGAGCAGAGAGCACACAGGACCCGACTCTGAATGGAAGCCAAGAGGAGCCAAGGGGGAAGAGGGAAGACAGAGGTGCAGTGGGTCATTAAAACTCATGCTGAGGCCTGGGTGCTGTGGCTCATGCCTGTAATCCCAGCTACTCAGGAGGTGGTGGGAGGAGGATCGAGGTTGAGGCCAACCCAGGCAAAAATGCGAGACGCTATCTGAAAAATAACTTGAAGTGGTAGAGCACCTGCGTAGCAAGTATGAGGCCCTGAGTTCAGAAAAACAAAACAAAAAGCCCAAGACCTTACGCTGAGATAGTTCAGTCTGGTTCTAGAACACATGCAATGTGTTTGGACATGTGCTTTGGACAATATTAAATCTTGTTTGTATCCCTCAACCTGAATCCTGAAAAGGGGTGGTGGCCCAGAGGTGCAAGAGGCCAAGGAAGCCAGCTATGGCTTCAGAGTCACCATGAAGTGCCACATGCTCAAGCTGTAAATGCCTAGAGTGCCTTCTCCGGCTCTCGTGGATACAGATCTGCACAGCAGAGGAGACCATGTTGGGTGATGCCGGGTCCAGCACCGTAGTACAGGGTCCTCCTCAGCACTCCACCTTGCTCAGCTGCTCGCAACGATCTCACAGCAGAGCTCTCTGGAGTGACAGCAGCTCCACTGCGAGGCTTGAAAGCTCTGGGCTGAGCCTCAGACCCTCTACGTGTGCCTGCGTGTCTCCTTGCCCTCCCCGCGGCTTCCCGTGGGGAGCGAGGCTCCTCAGGACGCCCCTTACCTGCATGATCACAATGCACATCCCCACTGTGCCGAGCACATGCTTGTTGTCGTCAAACCACATCTTCACCTTTTCATAGCAGCCCTGGGAATGGACCGCAAGTTAAGGTTCCAGTATGATGGTGAACTCCCTCTAGCCCAGCTCCACCTCAGCCCCACCAGCCCATCCTTGCTCTTACCACCTGTCCTGCTCCTCCTCCCCACCTGCAAGGCCAGGCTGCACAGCCTCAGCCCCTTCAACCCCCACCCTCTGACTCTCCTAGTTGTGGAGCCCATGTGTTCATACAACCATCCCACCCCCTCCTGCCTTGTGGCTTAAACCTGCATCCCTTCCCCCACCCCACATTGCACCAATTCCTGCATGCTGTGCCCACCCTCCCTGACCGGCCAATTCAGCGGCCAGAGGCATCAGCATCCAGCCTCACCGTTCTCCACAAGGGGGTGGTGGTGTTGCGCCCACAGCCCTGAGAGTTCTCCATGCAACAGCGGTCAGGAACCGTGTTCTCCCCCAGCACTGGGAACCAGTCTGTGTAGTCGGTGACCCCACAGCATCGCATCTGCCACATAGGATGGAAAGGGACAGTGAGACATGTCACATGGTGGTGAGACATGCCATGGCTGTCCCCATCCTCCCGGGCCTTCTGCCCAGGCCAACCCCAGCCCCACAAGAGCAGCCACTGCAGAGTTCAGGGGACAAAGGGCCTTCTACTGGTCTCTTCTTTGGGCTGCAGCCAGCCCCGTCTCCTTTCTAGAGACCAGCGGGAGGGGAAAGGGCAACTCAGTGCCCCTCAGCTAGACCTCAGGCACCACAGGATAGCCCGGTTCTCTGTTCAGAGGGGAGGTGCTGGTGGCTCTTTACCTTGTGGTGTGGACTGTCCCAAGCTGGCTCCCAGCCAACCTGCCTGCCAGCCCCTCCCCAGGGCTTAGTGTGGGGTGTCTGGGAGCTCTGACCTATTTCCTCTGAGAATCAGAGCTTTGTCACTTGAGCTGAGCTTTGCTGAGATAAACCCTCTCTCTCATCCCTCAGCTCAGCTGCTTGCCATAGCTCCTTCAGCCTGGCCACTCCTCTGAGTTCTAAGTCCTCCTGAGCTCACTGCCTTGATTCTCTCCAGCTGTATTCCATAGTATTATATCAGACCCATCGGTGCAAGCAAATGCCCTGGTGGGCTGATCCCCCTAGCCACCTCACTCCTGGCTAAAATCCAGACAGCACAGGTGTCCATAGGAGCCCTGGCTTCCCACCTGCCTCACACAGAGCCCCGAACCTCACCTCGGCCTGGATGATGTTCCAGGCATTCTTGAGCCCCACGTTGTTCTCAGTGTTGTACAGCAGCAGCCCTTCCTTCAGGTCCTGCTTGGCATTCTCATTCACCTGGGGTCAGGGGACACCGCCACAGGTTGGCTGAGACCAGGCTCCAGCTCCTCTCCCCAACCAGACAGGGGAGGGTCAGAGATGGGGGTAGCAGCAGCTAGTATTGGGGCTCTGCTGACCCAAAGGGTCCTGGTCCTCAGGGACCACTTCTCCCCTGGCCTGGAAAGGACCCTGGCTTGTCCTGGTCCAAGCCCGAGGCTATGGCATCCCATATCTGGCTCCCTGGCTCAAGGCTTACCTTGTCCATGTAGACAAAGAAGAGGATGAGCAAGATCAACTCTGCCAGGAGGATGGTCAACAGGACGATGAAAAACTGGGAAGGAAAGGTCCAGATATGGGCACATGGCAGTAGGGATGGCCGGGGAGTGAGTGAAAATGAAATGGATGAGGAACCAGGGGACAAGCAGCTCCTGGGCAGGGTTCCCAGGTCTGAGAAGGGCTACCTACTCCTGAGGAAACCCAGAGAGACAGCTAGGGACAGGTATAGAGCATGCCAGAAGCAATTTCCTTGGGCTCAGTTTGGGCCCCCCTTGGCCAATGTCTTCGCCTCTGTTTTGGTGGCCCAGAGCTCAGTGGGTTAGGGACATGGGATCCAACTCACACTGAGAAGCAGGCACTTGTTTTCCTTGATGGCTCCCAGGCAGCCCAGGAAGCCCGTCACCATGACAATGGTGCCTATGGCGATGACGAGGTTGGCTGCAGACAGCGAGGGAAAGCTGGGGGAGAATGTGGCAAAGTTGCCTTGGGACACAGACAGCCATATGCCCACTCCAAGCAGTCCACAGCCACAGAGCTGGAGAGAAAGGAGAGCCCATTAGACCAGCACTGTCCACACACTCACCTCTGCAGATCTCATAAGACCACACGTCCCACCCCAACTGAGACACGAGAGAGGGGGAAACCTGGCTACTGGCCAGATATACCCCAGACCCAAAGCCTTGGTGATCTAGACACATGTCCCCACCTCTCTATGTCTCATCACCTTCCCCATCTGGCAAAGGAACTAGACAGCTTCAGGATCATAGAGTCACTCTGAGATCAAAGTAAGACAGGAAAAAGCATGGAGCAAATACACAGAAGGTACTAGACACAGATGCACAGCTACAGTTACTTCATTCCACAAAGAGGCCTGGTGTTCAGGAGAGTGGCTTGAAACCAACTCTTCTCACCAACACCCCTAGGGCTACGACCAAAGCAGGTGGCTCCACCTGGGGAAGCTTCGCTTTCATTGGCTATGAATCTCCACATCTGCCTGGTTGAATGCTCCATATAGCTGACACTCCCCCGCTCCCTCCGAGGCTCGGGGGATGTGTGCTGAGTCGGAGGAGACAATCAATCAGTCAGCCAATATTTATTGAGTACCTCAAGCATACAGCATTCCTGCCAGAAAAGCTACAGCCACGTTAGAGACCTGTCTTCCAGGGGTCTCCAGGAGCCGGCAAGCTGGGGTGATACAAATGCAGTATACATGGTGCCAAATAAGGATTGTGTAACATGATAAAGCGAGAGCACACAAGGGAGGGGTGAGGATAGGTAAGACACCTAAAAAACTAGATAGCATTTGTTGCCCTCAACGCAGAGAAACTAAAGCAGATACCTTAAAAGCAACTGAGGCCAATTGGAGAAGGGGACCAGGAACTAGAGAAAAGGTTAGATTAAGAAGAATTAACCTAGAAGGTAACACCCACGCACAGGAAATTAATGTGAGTCAATGCCCTGTATAGCTATCCTTATCTCAACTAGCAAAAAACCTTGTTCCTTCCTATCATTGCTTATACTCTCTCTTCAACAAAATTAGAGATAAGGCAGAATAATTCCTGCCGGGTAGTGAGGGGTAAGAGGGGGTAAGGGAGGGAGTGGGGGGGTAAAGGAGGGGGAGGAGGCAAGGGGGAGAAATGACCCAAACATCGTATGCACATATGAATAAAATAAAAATTAAAAAAAAATTAAGATCGTGTGAGTTCAGAGGAGGCAGTGTCTGTCCTGGTCAGAGGTACCAGTTGGAGGCAGTAATCACTGAAGGATGGGTGGACGTGGGGCAGATGGGGGACAGGAGCATTCCACGCAAGACAGAAGTGTGGATGGGAAGGGCTTGGGAGTTGTGGACCTGAACTTGGTCCTCAGCTCTGGCCTGCTCTGGCTGTGTGACCTTGCTACTCCTCTAATGCAGAATGAGAACAGATCACCTTCCTACTGACAGCTGGGAGAACGTAAGTGAACTGAAGTCCATGGAGTGGGTGGTATGTGGAGCCAGGAGCTATTTGCTGAGAAGACATTCACTGAGCAGTGGCTCTGGACCAGGGACCATGCTGACAGCTGGGACTCCCTGAAGCAGAAGCAGGCAGAGCCCTGCTCTCAGCTGTCTAGCTTGGGGAGGAAACAGTCACACAGGGCCACACCATGGCAGAGAGGGGTATGGCACACCCACAGCAAGGTGAGGAGGAGTGGCAGTGGCTTCCCAAGGAGATGGCATTTCCTTTGCTCGCTCAGTCCACAGACTCAAACTAGGAGCCTGGTTAGTAATGCAGTTAACATTAATTAATTAGCTAATTAACTAATTCGTTTTTGCAGTGCTGGGGACAGAACCCAGGGCCTTGTACATGCCAGACAGTGGCATCTGGTTACTACTGAATGCCAGGCCCTGGCCTCCACAATGGGGAGACCCTGAGAAACCATCCAGCAAAGACCCTGCCTTCCTGAAGAGAGTCTTATGGGACTCACACACATGCCATGAGCAAACACACATGGAATCTCATGCACTGATGAGCCAGGAAGAAAAACAAGGACGTTCAGGGAGTCAGGAAGTACCTGGGGACAGAGTGGCCAGAGAGCCTCTTAGACCTCAATCAAGAGAGGGGATGTGTCACATAAACGGGGAGAAGAATGTTCTAGAAACAAGATAAAGCAAGTGCAGAGGCCTCAAAGTAGGAATGAGCCTGGCCAGTCAATGAAGAACAAGCTCCCATATGGCTATGACAGAGTGAGTGAGGTGATGGGGTAGGGGACAAAGGAAGTGGGGCAGCCAGGGGACAGATCCAGCAGGACCCTGAAGATACGAGGATGTGGGTGTTAGCAAGATGGGATGCTCCCAGGGTTGAGGAGTGACAGGATCTGACTGATGTTTTCAACAGATCACTGTGGCTGCTGTTCCAAGAAGAGGCTGCTGGGGACAGGGGGCAGCCAGCGAGCAGTCAGGCTCTTCTGCAGATGGCTATGGAGGAGCAGTAAGACATGCTCCTATGAGATGGGTAGTATTGACAGGGCTTGCTGGGCTTTGATGAATGAATAGGATTGTGATAAACATGGAGACAGAAAGGTGGCTCAGCATGGAAAAAAAAATGATGGGGGAATCTATCCATGTGTTACCAGAGATGGCTCCAGGAACCACAGGAAATCAGATTAGCAGGTCATACAGCTGCCGTGTGGAGCGTGGTCCCATGCCTCCTTTGTCCTGGAGCAGACCTCAGTGGGACCAAGTCAAGGATCCCAGGGTATGGGCACAGCAGGCCCAAGCTCAAGCACCACAAAGCTTTGTATGGGGAATGGGTCTCACCACCATCTGTGGTCACTAGGTGGCACTCCAGCCTGGTTCAGAAGCCCTTTGGATTTGCCAATGACACAAATTCCCATCCAACTTGTCACTCTGACTTTCTTCAATTCAGTCAGTTACTAGGCTGCCAAATCAATTTTTCTTTCATTAATCATACCCTAGAAAATTCATAATCTTCAAGCTGAAGATTTATAGCCCTAAAAGTCGGACCCTGGAATGAACAAGCAGAAAACCACAGAGCAGGTGTTTGCCATAGACAGAGGAGCCTGTGAGAGACCTGGCTCTGTTCTGGAACCCCTGGAGATGCAGGGATGCCCCCACCACCCCTCAGCTGCAGACAGACACCCAGGGTCCCCAGAGCAGAGTCTTCTCCAGAAGCCGGCCTGGTGGGGGACCCCACCATTCTCCTCCATTTTCATCCTAGGGGCTGCTGTGGTATCCAGGAGCCTCAGCTGGGGGACCCTCAATGGTGCAGAGCCACCCAGCGACTAGCCACCTCTCTTCAACTGGTTCTCTGACTTCCACATCCTTTGATGCACTCTGCAAGATTCCCAAGCACAGCCCAGGGAGCCTCCTTCACCTGGTGGGGAACAGAGCCAGCACCCTGCCCCATACCTGCTGTCCAACCTCCTACCAGGTTGAGACCCAGGCAAGACCCGCTGTCTTCTCAAGGTGTGTCAGACCCTGGCCAGCAGTCCCTGTGCCTAAGTCCCAGACAGCCTTCCTAGCAAAGCCCTCAAATCCATTCCCCACTTCCCATCAAGCTCCCAGCCTCCTGCCCCCAGCTCCAAGGCATCCTGCTCAATGTCTGCTGAGCTCCAGGCCTGTGTAATATGACACGGTGCCAGGCACATCCCCATGCCACTCTCCCATATCCTCAGGGTCTCCTGATGAGATAAACCCTTTGTCCCTTGCTTCAGGTGACCCAATACTAGCCAGACTCCAGGCAAGAAGAAAACACAAAGATGAGGCCTTAATTTTATAGATAAGGAAACTAAGGGGGATATGGTGGTCCCCACTGCCACTCTGCCAATCTGGGACAAGCCCCTGCTTTCTGACTTTGGGGGCAGACTTCTTTTTGACTTGCTATTTTCCAGGAGAGCTGTGAATCCTCCCTCATTCTCCCAAGTGACAGGTGGCAGGCAATGCCTTAGACCCACATCCAGACAGGGCCCACTACCCTCCCTTCCCTGCCTCTGTTTTTCAGCCCAGCCTGCAGAGAGCTGCCCAAATCCTTCCTCCAAAATGCCTCCTTCACCACGCTGCTCCCTTGTGTGGTCTTGAGATTCTGTAGCTCTGAGGCCCAACTTTCTTCAAACTGTGTGCTTTGGACTAGACTGCTGCTCTGGTCTCTTCCAGCATGGTCCTAGCCAAGTCTGAGACATGCTATTCTTATCCCCTACACCATGGGTTCTCAACCAGGAGCAATTTGCCTCACCAGGGACATGAAGCATTTCCGGTTATCACGACTAAGGATGTGCTCCCGGCATGTGGTGACATATAGAAGCCAGGGATGCTGCTAAGCACCCTACAGTGCTCAGGACAGTGCTCCACAATGAAGGACTATCCAGCCCCAAATGCCATTAGAGGTTGGAAGACCCTGCCCTGAGCCCCATCCCCACGCCAGGCACCTTCCCTCTGCTGTCAATTTCGAGAACAAAGCCATTGAAGAAAGAGCCTGGTATGTTCCCTCGAAGGGTGGCTAAAGACAGGGCTGGTCCTGAAAGGGACTGCACAACACAGAAAGGTTCTGGGAAGGCTCCTGCTGGGAATTGGGGAGGGTCTGGCAGGTGACAGTGGGCAGGAGTGGGGAGGTGACAACAGACTTATTACAGGCCTGCCCTGGGAAGGCAGGAGGTCAGGAAGCTGAGCTCTGGAGCCAGGGCAGGGGTCAGGGGAAAGGTGAGGCGGGAGTGGAGAGGGAAGAGTGGGGCAGGGAGAGGCCCCTGTGGAGGGAGCCAGGCGTAGGAGGCACAGGGTATGGAGTGGTGCAGTCAAAGCTCAGTGTTAGAGAGCTTAGCTGGTGGCATTTGAGAAAATTCCCTTCCAAAACCAGAGGGTTGTCTCAGCTGAGATGACCAAGCTATAATCGAGCTCAAGGCTGGAGAATCTGGGGCGAGGCAGGGTGACTCAGGGGATCAGGACCCAGCCAAAGTCAGCACCGACAAATGGAGGTCACCAGCAACTGCTGATGCAGCCCGGACCTGGCTATCGCCCTTCTCCAAGCAGGGGTGGCTGAGGGG